ACTTGAAAAAAACTCAAAGCCATTCTATGAGCCAATATGCTATAGCTCAGTTTATAAACTAAGTAATTATTTAGATACATCTTAACAGTTAAAAAATTAACATCTTCAAGTCAGTTTGTAAACTAAGTAATTATTTAGATACTTCTTAACAGTTAAAATTAACATCTTCAAGTCAGTTTGAAAACTAAGAAATATGTTTAGATACATCTTAACAGTTAAAAAAATTAACATCTTCAAATCAGTTTTTAAACTAAATAATATGTTTAGATACATCTTAACAGATATATCTTAACAGTTAAAAATTAACATCTTCAAGTCAGTTTGTAAACTTTGTAATATGTTTAGATACATCTTAACAGTTAAAAAAATTAACATCTTCAAATCAGTTTTTAAACTAAGTAATATATTAAAAAATTAACATCTTCAAGTCTGTTTTTAAACTAAGTAATATGTTTAGATATGTCTTAACAGTTAAAAATTAACATCTTCAAGTCAGTTTGTAAACTAAGTAATATGTTTAGATACATCTTAACAGCTAATGATCATATATTATTTTTCTTCTCAATTTCCTACAACAATTTTGGTTTTTAGTTTCATAAAATCAGTTTATTTCTAATTTTTTAAACTCAGAAAGTTTTAGTTCTTTCCAATATGTTGCTCAAGTGGAAGACGAAGCCTAATTAAGAAAATGACTCCAGAGAAAGATATTTAAAATATAAATTGTTGAAACTTCGAAAGATTTGAAGATCAAGTATGTTTCCCACAATGTCTTCATTTTAGCTATTAAGTTACAGATGAGCCACTTTTAGCAATCTTTCTCATAATCCACATAGATGTATAATAATGAAACACTAAAACTTGGCACCCACCTGTACTGTGGTTGTACTATCATACTTGAAAGACTTTGTTTGGTCATTTTCTAGGAACACCTTCAATACATTAGGCATGCATGGCATACACGATTCAAATGGGGATGGCTAAGGGGGAAAAACAACAACATAAATCGAACATCTGGTATAACTGGTATCTTAAAATAAACTTGTGTAGGTGCTAACGATACAACTGACGTGTAAACCTAATCAACAGTGAAACAGACTAAGAAAAAAAGCAAGAACAATAGAACAAGCTAAGTTCAAAGTGTTTCTCAACATTAAAAACAAAGTAACAAGTATGAAATAATCCAAATTAAAAGTGGAAAATCACCAAACATTTAATTAATGACATATTTTAATCTATCTTTCCTTATTTTATTTCATCCTCTCAATGTGTTGTGTTTGCTTATCCAACTGTTTTGAGTTCACATTTTAAAATTATCAGATAACTATTACAAAAACAACTTCACCCATTAAGAATTTGATGACAAGGAACCCACTTTGTACATTTGCTGTTATGTTAAACTTATATTAAAGTTTTTCTTCATTACCCAATCAAGACGTCTCCAGGCATCATTAAACATTAAGAATGTTTCATAATTTGATCACTGTAAGACAATGCATAACATGTCACAGGACTCAGAACACAATGTCATTGTGCCCCCCCACTCTTTCTTTTTTTACAACTTGCATAAGAAATAAGACATGGATAATTCTTAAAAAATATCAACCTGTACTTTAGGGTGGGTAAAAAACAAAATTATAAAAACCAGATAAGACCACTGTTTACAGTCGAAAATCCTGGGAGTTTCTCATAATGTTTCAACAGTTAAACAACTGTAATTACAAAATGACAAAATATCAATTATAAAATATTTTTGAGTTACAAGTTGTTGAAACAAAGTTTGAATTTTTATTTTTATTTAAATTTTGAAATCAGGTATGCAGGTGAGCATGCACTCAACACTCCAAAGGTGTTCACCAGTCGTTATAGGGCTAACGGCATAATTCTACGGGTCCCGTGGCTATGTTACAGCAGTATGTATACCACTCCTGTAAGACATTTATATATATTCTTCAATATTAGCTCACCGTGAACCGAGTATATATCATCAGAAAAGACTTTCAAATCCTGATTTTGCTATTCATTACAAAAACAGCCTTTCCAAAATAGGACTTGATCCAAAAAATCATTAGAAGACATATTTCATTAAGCTTACAGGAAAATTGTCTATTTTTTAAAACATTGTTATAATGAACTAATATGAATAACAATGAAGAAATAAAACTTGTAACTGGATGATAACGACATTGTCTCGTAACAATAAACTGTAACTATACACAACGATTCTCTGCAAGAAAATAAAAACAATTGTGTTCAACAGCATGTCCATTAGTCAAGAGTGTATTGTATTACTTGAAAAGTGTATTTTAGTAACTGTAGCAACTTAAGTTGTAAGGTTATGCAACAACTATCTTATTGTCTCCCTTAAGAGTTATTAACTACTTAATACAACTGTTCACTACTTTCCTCTGAACTTACAATTTATAATTAATACCCCAACGATTGTTTTATACTTACACTGTACAATGGTGAACCATTAATAACTACGCCTTCAGCAAAATGAACCCTTGAAGGCTTGGATTTTAATTTTGCTTTTTTTGCAGCGGTGAGTAAAGCTGACTTTCTTGTTGTCTGGAAAAGAAATCATGACACTGGTTTTCAATATAATATCCTTTAGTGATGATATTCAAAAAATAAGTTAAAATAAACAAACGAGAGCATAACGAGCTCAGCGGTAAGAAACGTGTTCCCTTGTAAGACCTAATGTGTAGTATTTGATAAATAGTAAGATTACAAAATTGGAAGGTAAGTATTTGCTCACTCCTTCGTTTACTGATTAATAAAATCAGATAATTTTGATAAATAGTAAGATTACAAAATTGGAAGGTAAGTATTTGCTCACTCCTTCGTTTACTGATTAATAAAATCAGATAATTTTGATAAATAGTAAGATTACAAAATTGGAAGCTAAGTATTTGCTCACTCCTTCGTTTACTGATTAATAAAATCAGATAATTTTGATAAATAGTAAGATTACAAAATTGGAAGGTAAGTATTTGCTCACTCCTTCGTTTACTGATTAATAAAATCAGATAATTTTCATATCAGCACAACTCTAAGACTAACTGAAAATATAAGTATCAATGAACAAATACTGCTAATTTTTTGTGGGTCCTTTTCACCAGCACAGAGTTACACAAATGTAAAGATATTGAAATAAACTATTCCTAATTCAATAATTACAATTAATCTTTTTTTGTGTGTCCCTAACAAGATAATTTTTGGTTACAAATGTTCATTTTTAGAAAAGAAATAAGAACAAAAAAATAGTTCTTTATTTTCGACTCTGAATTTTTTAACTATAGGATTCCAGATGTGGTCCACGTGTACCTGTGATATTACTTCCTAAGGGGTCTCTTATAACATAGAAGGCATACACAAAAATGTATAAAATAAAATTACCTAATATTACAATTATTAATACACTAATTACATGATGTTATCACATACATAATGTATA